CTTCCAATTTTTGTTCGTTAAGAATTAAAAACTGTGCCTCTAAATAGTTTTTCAAATCATAAGTTGTAGTCAGGTGTGATCTGGTGTTATCTTTCTGAGGTCAGAAGTTCTAAGGCTCAAGCCTCCATATTTGGCTGAACTCGTTCTACACATTAACCGTGAGTTATAAAAGGGAACGTCAATCAGGTTATTCGGTTAATTAAGAGTAGCTGTGTGTTGTTGACCACCTTCTGGGCAGTAGTTCTGGCTCCATTTAGCTCATGTTTCGCATAAAGTGTCTTTTAAGTCGTAAATACGTCGCAGAGACTACCGATATCTTGTAGCACATTATTCTTAGCATGACCTTAATTCATTTTCAAAATGGAAATAAAACTAATCTTTATAGTTTTAAGGTCATGGCATGAAAAATTTAAAAACAACAACAACGAATTCTAGGACAGTTAGGATGTCGATAACTGTCAAAAATTAACTATAATTTACATCCAAAAATGTTCTATGGTTTTTCTTAATGAATAAGTGAAGTGTATGTTTGTTACTTTCGTCGACACCCTTTGTCCACTTTCTATGTTATAAAACATTGTGTGTGAAGGAAAAGCTAGAAGCACATGACAGAGCGTTCTGTGACTAAGATACATAAAAATGTAGAAACATGACGTAGTAAACATGGTCTGAATTCAAGAAAATGTGATTAACATACATAAAAATGTAGAAACATGACGTAGTAAACATGGTCTGATTTCAATAAAATGTGAAGTATGTTAATCACATTTAATTGAAATCAGACCATGTTAACTACGCCATGTTTCTAGATTTTTATGTATGTTAATCACATTTTATTGAAATCAGACCATGTTAACTACGTCATGTTTCTAGATTTTTATGTATGTTAATCACATTTTATTGAAATCAGACCATGTTACCTACGTCATGTTTCTACATTTTTATGTATGTTAATAAAAATGTAGAAACATGACGTAGTAAACATGGTCTGATTTCAATAAAATGTGATTAACATACATAAAAATGTAGAAACATGGCGTAGTTAACATGGTCTGATTTCAATTAAATGTGATTAACATACATAAAATGTAGAAACATGACGTAGTAAACATGGGCTGATTTCAATAAAATGTGATTAACATACATAAAAATGTAGAAACATGACGTAGTAAACATGGTCTGATTTCAATAAAATGTGATTAACATACATAAAAATGTAGAAACATGACGTAGTAAACATGGTCTGAGTTCAATAAAATGTTTATGGTTACTTTTCCAGAGGTTCACAAACTGGAATGTGTTTTGCTAATATTAAGTATGACAAAAAGGATCGTTGAATCGTCAATCGTGTGGTTTTGGTTGAATACCCATTTCTGGCTTGTTGAAAATCAAGTGCTTTATAACATTGTTAATCTACTATAATTATTCATTACAAAACCTTGTATTTATTCTCTCTGTTCAAACTCATACTTTATCCAAATTAGTTCTAACTGTCTGGATGATCTTTGGTATTTGTCAGAATACTAATAGTATCATTATAAATTTTGTGAAATTTAAGAATTGAAATATATGTAGACCTTATAATAATGTTTTATCACTCTTTTTGATCTAAAGTATCATATTGGAATAAAGTTAACGGTCAATACCGAGATTCTAGCTGCGACATATGGACTGAATGGCTAAATCAAAGATCGCAAGGTTCAGGCGTAGCTTTCCTTAATTTAGAATTGTCGACCAGAGAAAAGACAACCAATTGACAGCTGAAAGTACGGAGAGCTTTTGATAGAAAATATCCAGTCCATAGACTATCAGTAAAAAAAAAGGTATTTGTTGTAAAACTGAGTGATGTACAAGAAAACAAAACATAAATGATATCCAAATATCTGAATGAGGTCCTCACACTAACTGCGGGTCGCCGAGCAAGACACACCGAAAGGTGGACACATTTGTATTATAAAATTATTTATTTGAGCACTTGTAGAGTTTACCATCCACCACATGCATCTATTTAACCAGAAATTGTTAATAAACTACTTTAATAAATTGTTATAACTTTATTTCTAAATGGCATTTTAGACTAAGACTTTGCTTGTTCAGGTGTTTAGAAAATTTACACAAACCTTTCAGCGCTAGCCGACCCGAATCTTGCTTGGACTGCTAGACTATAGCAAAGACAGTTAGTAAAGAGGAGGCACCGTCAATTCTTTGTCAACTAATTGAATAGTGGGATCTGACTATAACTTTTATAGTGTAGCTATGACTCCAAAGTACGGGGAGAGATTTTGCGGCAACGGGACGCGGACCATGGATCCTAGGATGATGCTGTCGAAGGCCTATTGAAGATCATCGAAAGCATTAAATAAACTTAAATATGTTTATAGGTCCACGGGAAACAGGGTATCTGTCGAAAGATCTCGCAACCAGCCTACATCTGACCTCAATCTTACGACTAGGTTTACTGAAGCCAGTTTGGGTAACTTTGCACTGATTTTATTTTTATTGTCAATGACAAATTCATATCATGTTAAGCTGGATGATTCAATTTTTCTTGAGTTTAAACTGTAAAAATATTATAGTACAAGATTGTGTGTGATTTACAGTTTTCGTTTCCTTACACTTTTTACTAAGAAGATGTTTAACAAAGCAATTTACTATTAATTTACTGTGTCACCGGTAAAAATATTATAGCAAAAGATTGTGTGTGATTCACAGTTTTCGTTTCCTTATACTTTTTACTAAGAAGATGTTAAAAAAATCAATTTATTATTAATTTACTGTGTCACCGGTAAAAATATTATAGCACAAGATTGTGATTCACAGTTTACGTTTCCTTATACTTCTTAGCAAGAAGATGTTAACAAATCAATTTACTGTATCACCGGTAAAAATATTATAGTACAAGATTGTGATTCACAGTTTACGTTTCATTAGTAAGAAGATGTTAACAAATCAATTTATTAGTAATTTACTGTGTCATCGGTAAAACTATTATAGTACAAGATTGTGATTCACAGTTTACGTTTCCTTATATTCTTTAGTAAGAAGATGTTAACAAATCACAAAGTTGCGGTGACGTTAGGCTTACTCTTGCTTTAGCTGCACAGCTTTCGACAATACTAAAACATCTCAAAGCTTATTGTTTGAAGGGTATTTTAGGTAGAGTACAGATTGTAACGTTTTGGTTTTAATGGACTGCTCCAGTCTGTTTATGGAGTGAGATGACGTTTCGGCTTCTATAATGATGCCTTCTTCAAGTCATCTCAGTATAGAAGACGAAACGTCGTTCATTCTAGTAACAGAGAGAAGTAGTCTATGAAAAGTAAACTATCTGACAGCTTGTTGAATTATTCTTACTTTCTTATACAACCATTCTCTCACTTTGTGAAAACCTTAGGTATAGAGCACAAGTGTTTTTAGAGATCTCAATTATACTGGTATTATAGAATTGTAGACAAACCCAGGCCTAATGATTAATTTGACCAATTAACGGTCATAGTTATAACCTCCTTGACCACGTCTATCATCAGCTAATTTGTAACTCAAAATTACAATATTATTAGCGACTGCTTATATCGAAAATAAAAACAAATTAAAATAAGTAATAATCAAAACAATGTAGAACGACATTTAGATATAGCGTTACTTATTTGACTAGTACCATTGTCAGCCAATGTAGAACGACATTTAGATATAGCGCTACTTATTTGATTAGTACCATTGTCAGCCAATGTAGAACTACATTTAGATATAGCGCTACTTATTTGATTAGTACCATTGTCAGCCAATGTAGAACTACATTTAGATATAGCGCTACTTATTTGACTAGTATCATTGTCAGCCAATGTAGAACGACATTTATATATAACGTTACTTATTTGATTAGTACCATTGTCAGCCAATGTAGAACGACATTTAGATATAGCGCTACTTATTTGACTAGTACCATTGTCAGCCAATGTAGAACGACATTTAGATATAGCGCTACTTATTTGATTAGTACCATTGTCAGCCAATGTAGAACGGCATTTAGATATAACATTACTTATGTGACTAGTACCATTGTCAGCCAATGTAGAACAACATTTAGATATAGCGTTACTTATTTGACTAGTACCATTGTCAGCCAATGTAGAACGACATTTAGATATAACGTTACTTATTTGACTAGTATCATTGTCAGCCAATGTAGAACGACATTTAGATATAGCGTTACTTATTTGACTAGTATCATTGTCAGCCAATGTACAACGACATTTATATATAACGTTACTTATTTGATTAGTACCATTGTCAGCCAATGTAGTACGACATTTCGACATAATGTTATTTATTTGATTAGTACCATTGTCAGCCAATGTAGAACGACATTTATATATAACGTTACTTATTTGACTAGTATCATTGTCAGCCAATGAAGAACGACATTTATATATAACGTTACTTATTTGACTAGTATCATTGTCAGCCAATGAAGAACGACATTTATATATAACGTTACTTATTTGACTAGTACCATTGTCAGCCAATGTAGAACGACATTTATATATAACGTTACTTATTTGACTAGTACCATTGTCAACAGTTAAGTTTCTATCTATATCAAGAGCTTATAATTGAAAAGTGAGTCACTTTTATAGAGCACACATAGCTCCGAACGACAGAATTCGATTCTGCGGCAACGGGACCCGAGCCATTTACTCGAGGATCCATAGTCTGTCAAGTTAACTACTAGGGTATGTTGGATCGGACGACTCTTTAACTTGATCGCAGCCTCTATACTACTGCTTTTCGTTCCTGGTTACTTACATGTTTTGTTCTGTATTTATATTATAAGATAGAGAATTGAATTTAACAGAGAATCGTTTATCTAGTTAACTGAAACTTGTTTTCAAAACCAGTACTAAGACATAAATATATTTTAATATTTTTATTGTGAGATTAGTAGCAGTTAAAACTTAAATTTATTGTGAAACCACACCAAGAGTGTAAGTTCGGCCTACCTTCAAGCAGCTGGTAGAACTTCCTTTATTATCCAGGACGTTTCACAAGATATTTTAACATTAGAATCAAAGCCACCACATAAACACATACCAACACAACAAACGGTCGGGGAATGAATGGCCCTGGTTAACGTGGAGTTCTGGCTCAACTCTGGTCGTTAAGCCCCGAAGCGAGACGCGCCAGGTAGAGGACTCCCCGTATTCCCTCTAGCTAGGTTGTAACCTGCAACGTATCGGTGGGGGTCGGGAGTGGGTTGCAGAGTAGGTTACATATGAATAGCAGTTACACTGGCTGCGACTTCCTCTGTGGATATAGTTCTAATGTATGATAGTTGTATGTACTGGTTATGTAGAGAAGACAATTGCCGAGAATATTTTAACCCACTTACAATCAGTGAAGAGAAACTGAAGATAAGTTAAGTTTTAAAGACTTAATCAAACAGAAAGCGCGATATACTTCTAATAAGTTAAAAAACTGATCAAATAATAAGAATCACTTAGAAGCTGGTGAAAAAGAAAAACAGATTTTCAGATAGTGTTCTTCCGATAAAGAAAACTTGGCTAATTGTGTTTAAATAGATCATAATATATAGATGAATTATTAGTCTGTAAGTTTTTTTTTATCTGAATCTAATTACTCTCGTTTCAAATGACTTTAATAGTAAACTGACAAACAAAGTAATTTTATTTTGGATAACATAATGCATGTTTCAACAGGACACTTATCTGTCTTCTTCTTTAAACATGTTTCAAACGACTTCAAACATGATAGCTAAAAACCTTTTGGTCTAAACGTCCAACTACGACATGACTGCATCTGGTTACCACATTTTAGATTAGTTTTAAAAGTATATCGTAACAGTGTAATTCACCACGCTATACTGTGGCCTTGGGTGCGTTGTCTGGTTCTACGCCAACTTGATAGTTTTAATATGAAACACGAGAGCAGTGCACAAACTTTCTGTCACAGGTGTAGAGAATAGGTTGAATTTAGTTCTCAGAGTTATCGTATTTCTAGTTTTTTTGTCAGATCGTGGAATTCAGAGACTAAAACTAAAATATCTGGTTTATGTTTTTTTTTAAAAAGCAACGACGCACTTAAGATTTTACTAACTATGATTACAGTAACCGAGAAAATAGTAAAAAATGAGTATATAAACACACAATAACCGAGAAAATAGTAAAAAAGGAGTATATAAGCACACAATAACCGAGAAAATAGTAAAAAAGGAGTATATAAGCACACAATAACCGAGAAAATAGTAAAAAAGGAGTATATAAACACAAAATAACCGAGAAAATAGTAAAAAAGGAGTATATAAACACAAAATAACCGAGAAAATAGTAAAAAAGGAGTATATAAACACAAAATAACCGAGAAAATAGTAAAAAGGAGTATATAAACACTTCATAACCGTGAAAGAAGTAAAATACAGAAGTATATAAACACACAATAACAAAGAAAATAGAGAAATAAAAGAGTATATAAACACACAATAACAAAGAAAATAGTAAAATACAGAAGTATATAAACACACAATAACAAAGAAAATAGTGAAATAAAGGAGTATATAAACACACAATAACAAAGAAAATAGTGAAATAAAGGAGTATATAAACACACAATAACAAAGAAAATAGTAAAATACAGAGGTATATAAACACACAATAACAAAGAAAATAGTGAAATAAAGGAGTATATAAACACACAATAACAAAGAAAATAGTGGAGTCAAGCCGTAAGTAAAGTGTGTGAATCCCTGTGAATTATAGCGTGTTTTTATAAAAGCAGTTAAGTTAAAGTGACTGTGGAAATTCTGTGTATTACAAAGTTGTATTGAGAAAGTATAAACTAGTTTTATTTAAGAAAGGACTTGTATCGCTGAAGTTCCTCGGAAAGAATTTATACCGGAAATTAATAAACGACCAGATACGCAACAATATACTCCTTTATTTCACTATTTTCTCGGTTATTGTGTGTTTATATACTCCTTTATTTGATTATCTGTATCTTCAATCTCTCTATCTGTGCAATTCTCTCCTCGCTTTATTTGCCGGGCTTATATACTAAAAAAGAGGGCGCCTGAAACCGACTACAGTTGCCAGGACAATTCATGATCATTCGAGAATATCATCACGTGTTACTAGTGTCACGTGACTTCCGCTGTCGTAACAATATAAACACACAATAACGGAGAAAATAGTAAAATAAAGGAGTATAGAAACACACAATAACCAAGAAAATAGTAAAATAAAGGAGTATATAAACACTTCAGATGTCTTTGAGTTATTATTTTTAATCAGCAGTTGATTTTTTTGATATTCTTTTGACCAGCCCCTATTGATATCTGAAAGCACATATAATAACTCACATAAAAGGAACGAGATAGTTAATTTGAATAAGAATAATGATCTTGCAAAACAAAACAACGTATGTTAATTGGTAGCAGTAAGTCTTTGAGTGTAGATAAACATACAATCATACAGAAATAAATTTACAGAAGTCCTTTACCTTTTACAAATAAAGAAAATAATTTTATTTTCTGAGAAAGCTACGTATGGCATATCAGAAACTCATAAATCAGATTAAGATTAGATTAGCTTTACGTACGAACGCCAATAACCATAGTGTAACCGTTCTAACGTATCTAAACTATCGTATTACTCTGACTAAAGGTTTCTCTGTTTTTGAAACATAGCAACTACGAGTTGAAGAAACTTTTATTACGTAGCAATTACCAGTTGAAGAAACGTTTATTACGTAGCAACAACCAGTTGAAGAAACGTTTATTACGTAGCAACTATCAGATGAAGAAACTTTTATCAAGTAGTAACTACGAGTTGAATAAACTTTTATTACGTACCAACAACAAGTTGAAGAAACTTTTATTACGTAGCAACTACGGGTTGAAGAAACTTTTATTACGTAGCAACTACGGGTTGAAGAAACTTTTATCAAGTAGCAACTACATGTTAAAATAACTTTTAATTAGTAGCAACTACAAGTTGAAGAAACTTTTATCAAGTAGCAACAACCAGTTGAAGAAACTTTTATCAAGTAGCTACTACATGTTAAAATAACTTTTAATTAGTTGCAACTACGAGTTCTAGAAACTTTTATCAAGTAGCAACAACCAGTTGAAGAAACTTTTATTACGTAGCAACTACCAGATCAAGAAACTTTTATTACATAGCAACTACCAGTTTAAGAAGCTTTTATGAAGTAGCAACTGCCAGTTGAAGAAACATTTATTACGTGGCAACCACATTTGAAGAAACTTTTATCAAGTAGCAACTACGTGTTGAAGAAATTCTTATTACGTAGCAACTACGAGTTGAAGACACTTTTATCAAGTAGCAACTACCAGTTGAAGAAACTTTTACTACGTAGCAACTACCAGTTTAAGAAACATTTATTACATAGCAACTACCAGTTGAAGAAACTTTTACTACGTAGCAACTACAAGATGAAGAAACTTTTATTACATAGCAATTACCAGTTGAAGAAACTTTTATTACGTACCAACTACAAGATGAAGAAACTTTTATCAAGTAACAACTACCAATTGAAGAAACTTTTATCAAGTAACAACTACCAGTTGAAGAAACTTTGTTCAAGTAGCAACTACCAGTTGAAGAAACTTTGATCAAGTAGCAACTACCAGTTGAAGAAACTTTTATTACGTAGCAGCTACAAGTTTAATAGCTAAATGTTTGTTAGACAGTCACGTTCAGTATAAAGCTAAGTGTTTTCAGCTTGTCACGTTCAGTATAAAGCTAAGTGTTTGTTAGACAGTCACGTTCAGTATAAAGCTAAGTGTTTATTAGACTTATACTGAACTTGACTGGCTAACAAACACTTAGCCTTACACTGAACGTGACTGACTACAAACAATTAACTTTATACTGAACGTGACTAGCAAACAAAGACTTAGCTTTACACTGAACATGAATGAATAAGAAACACTTAGCTTTACACTGAACGAGAGTGAATAGCAAACACTTAGTTTTATACTGTACGTGACTGACTAACAAACACTTAGCTTTATACTCTAAGTGACTGACTAACAAACACTTAGCTTTATACTGAACGTGACTGGCTAGGTGTTTGTTAGCCAATCACGTTCAGTATAAAGTTAAGTGTTTGTTAGTAAGTCACGTTTAGTATAAAGCTAAGTGTTTGTTAGTGAGTCACGTTCAGTATCAAGCTAAGTGTTTGTTAGTCAGTCACTTAGAGTATAAAGCTAAGTGTTTGTTAGCCAGTCAAGTTCAGTATAAAGCTAGGTGTTTGTTAGCCAATCACGTTCAGTATCAAGCTAAGTGTTTGTTAATCAGACACGTACATTATCAAGCTAAGTGTTTGTTAATCAGACACGTACATTATCAAGCTAAGTGTTTGTTAATCAGACACGCACATTATCAAGCTAAGTGTTTGCTACTCACTCTCGTTCAGTGTAAATCTAAGTGTTTGTCAGCCAGAAACGTTCAGCATAAAGTTAAGAGTTTGTTAGCCAGTCACGTTCTGTGTAAGGCTAAGTGTTATTAGAGAGTCACGTTCAGTATAAAGCTAAGTGTTTGTAGCTGAGTGTTTGTTAGCCAGTCACGTTTAGTATAAAGATAAGTGTTTGTTATGCAGACTTGTTCAGTATAAAGCTAAGGGTTTTTGTCAGTCAGTTATGTTGAGTATAAAGCTGAGTTTTTGTTAGTCAGTAACGTTCAGTGTAAACTAAGTATTTCTTATTCATTCATGTTCAGTATAAAGCTAAGTGTTTTCAGCTTGTCACGTTCAGTATGAAATTAGTGAAGGTTTTTACCTTTTTTCTGTACGTGTGGTGCAAAAACACTTTAAGTTTGTACTTCTACAAATAACTATATTAGTGAAGGTTTTTATTTTACTGCTATACGTGTTTCAAACAAGCAACTTGAAATAATACTGCCCCAAATAACTAGATTAGTGAAAGTTTTTACTTTACTGCTATACGTGTGGTACACAAAAAATTTGAATTTGTAGTGCCACAAATAACTATTTAGTGAAGGTTTTTACTTTACTGCTATACCTATGGTAGACAAGCAGCTTGAGTTCGTACTGCTACAAATAACCATATTAGTGAAGGTTTCTACTTTACTGCTATACGTGTAGTACACAAAAACGTTGAGTTTGTACTGCTACAATAACTATATTAGTGAAGGTTTTCATTTTAC